TGACTAATTATATCCAAAGCTTCATTGCAAACCACAGAGGCTTGCATGAGAAGATTACTCAGTTGCTCCAATGTCCTGTGAAGCTGAAGAACAAAAAAAGATCACCAATCCCTTTTCAAACTCTGTCACATGTGTTCCTTGCAGAGCCACGGGTATTCAAGGCATAAGTCTGCAGAGCTGGTCAAGCATCAGGACCCTGAGAACTGACTGCAACTTCTGGGTCCCTCTGCAACACACATGAATTTTCTACCTAAATGTCTCCAGCTGAAGAAAACCATCTTGTGGGGAAAATGCTAAAGTTCCCTAGAGATGTGCCAGATCTTGCAGCTTCAAAGAAAATCAGCCGTTTAAAGTGAAAAATAAATGAAGTGAAAATTATGAAGAGGGTCATAATTAGATCATCTCTGATAGCTTGAGTAGGAAAAAATATATATTTTCTCTTCAAAAGCAACGCAATGCAAGCCATCTTTTTCTCCGGCAGAGAAAGCCCAGGGAGCAAGCTGAAGTGCACTTGAAAGCACTTGGCTGATTCCCCAGCTCTGTGACTCACTAATCAGGCTCTTGCTCACAGCTGCCCTCTCCTTGGGACGCAGGGATGCTCTGACCTAAACCTTGCCCCTTTAGTCTGCTTCCGCCTTCTGCAGCAGATTGAAACTGCATCCCCTAATGCTTGCTAAGGCCAGGTGCTTGGCTAATGGCTTTTGGCTGCATGCACATACAGATCTATAATTTCCTCTGGCTTTGGCAATTTGTGTTTCTGATTTTAGATTATAATCCACCTTCAGGACTGGCATGTACATCCTGGCTTATCCAGAACTGCTCAAGCTCCTTGCCAACAGTATCATTTTTGTTAAGCACCTTGAGGGGAATGTCATGTAAGGAACTATGCTGCTGGGGTAATCTGGAGGCAGCACTTGCTGCCTGCATGAGTGATGGAAGACTTAAGTTCCATTGCTACCTCATTCCTTAACACAATTTAGAGCCTAGAAAGCTATTCTTGCCTTTTTGCTGTTATGATTCTTTCATTCCATGAAGAAAAAAAGGGACTAGATCTAAAACTTTATACACATAAACTCTCAGGAATATTTGCAAATCCTCTATGCTGCTCAAATGTAGAAAGCATTTGGGGAATAACACTGGGAATTAAACAGACTCTGATCTGCTACCTCACTGTGAAATCAGGGGTATTTCCAGCCTCAAGTAAACAAGGCCTTTCCTCCTTTCCCATTGTTCCTAAGAATAGAATCAGGACATTACAATAAACTAAGTGTAAAGATTTGAGGTCCACACAGCCTATTTCCCCTCATATTTTCAGATATCACCATTCTGATAGAAAAAACATGGGCACTCCACACTTCCTGTGCTGAACAAGAGAACAACATCTCTGCACTTCAGGAGCAAGACAGCTGATACATAAATACAAATATTATATCTGTAAACAAATGTCCCAAGACTCCCAATTAAAATGAATAAACTTACCAACAGCTGAAAGGGCCTAATACAGTAGTGGTAAGTAGTAAACATATAACAGTAAATAGTATCTCTTGTAGTTAGTACTAGAGAAAAGAAAACCAAAATATCCCCTTCTTCATTTAAACGTCCAAAAAATCTATTTTCCAACAAGTTTCCTCAGCCTGAGATGGTCTCTTGATGCAAAATAGCAAAAGGACAAGAGGGAAAGTGCCAAAACTTGGACGGTGAAATGCAACATCTCGTTATTCAAGCTGCAACCATCTCCCACTCAGCTGTTCAGAAAACAGCTAATGGCATAAAAGTGGATCTGTGCCCCTAGAGGGCAGACCCTTATACATTAAAATTTCACTTGAGTATAGATTTTATAGATTTTTTTGGGACTTAGTTTTGCTACTGGGATCAGCCTTGAGAAAACTGCAGTCGAGATCCAGCTCTTAGGGCCCGAGGACAAGCAAGTGGGAGATGTTCTGGTGTCTTCTAGCAATCTGCAGACCAGAAACATTTTCAGAGGCCTCTTGCAGCAAGGTCCCCCCTCGCTGGCTGGGGAGCTGCTGCTATTCGATGCCTCTGGGCTTCGGTCTGCCTCTTGCTTCTGCGTGCGAAAGCAGGGACAGGCTCTGTGCTGAGTCATGAGACCCTGGTCTTTAAATCAGGCAATGTGTTTATAAAGAAAGTCACTATCGTGCTCTAGAAGGGAAAGGTGAACTTTAGGTTATGTCATTTAAAGCTCTGAAGTATTTAAATGGCACTTCAAAAGTCATAGTGCAGTGATTTATGCTCTTTTTTTTTTATCTATTGACGTAACACACCCAAGGACCTTAACCTTTACATCATACAAACTTCAAATGATTTCCTCTTCATCTGCTTTGGATCACTTCCTTCACCTGGGAAAGATCAGCAGTTTTGAGTAGAAATCACAGAAACTGATAACAGGTAGCTCCTGAACTGATAGCCTTCACAGGGTCTGCCAACATGGAAAAGCCTCATTTGTCCTGCTGAAGGAGTAGAAGAGAATATCAATCATATAATCATTATGGTTGGAAAACACCTTCAAGATCATGGAGTCCAGCCATAAACCTTACAAGACCATCCCGCTAAGCCATGTCCCCAAGCGCCTCATGTACACGTGCTGAGCTCCTTGGCAGTGACGGGGCTACAGCCCATCCCCAGATACACACTGAAGAAGGAAGCCCTGAACACTTAAGAATATGAATAAGAGCTCAAGCTAGCGCAGGAAAGCCTTACTGTATGATAACCACTATGATAATTCTCAAAAGCCACTCAAAATGTGCCTGTGAGATAAGTTACTCTCCTGCCTTTGGAGAACACGGTGCAGCTTGACTGCTAGCTGGACATCAGGAAACCCAATACCTGATACAGGAGGCTACTTAGAGATCCCATCGTGCCATCAGCTGCTGAGCTACAACATCTTGCTAAGTCTGAGCTAACAGTGTAATTCCCAGAGCAGTTTACCCACTGCTTATTCCAAAAATACCAGCAAAAGAAAGGGTTTTGTTACTAATGGGAAGTCCAAAGGATAGGGCTGACATTAAATCTACGAGTTACTCGTGGGCTGAATCCAGCAGTCTGAACATATATTCTATCTATCTGCTCAGACCATCTCTTCCAGAAAAAGGAAGCAGACTCGACAGCTAGGCTGGTACCAGAGCCTTGGGTATCCTCTTAAAAAAACAGCTCATCCAGCACACATTTGGTTTTCTAGGATCCATTTTATGTTAAAAGCAAGTTTAACTCAGAAATACACCTATCACTTTTTTAAGCTACTCTCTTTGTCCTAAGCTCAGCATGAACAACCAGGATACTGTGAAACTGAAGGTTATTCTGAATTTCTTTTCTTCTCGCTCCAAACAGCAAATAATGCAGTGACAGATGTTACGGTAACCAACCAAAATCTTGTGCTGTGATTAGCTATTGTTAGCATGTCTATAATCCTCAAGGGATTAAGTGGTCACCTAAGCATGGCTTCAAGTGTCACCTGTGTCGCAAAGGGGCATAAACTAATCTGTTTTGTTGAAAATAGATGAAGTGGTAAATATTTTGAAGCCTTTCTCATTTACAGAAAACTCTTGTCTTTCATTCTGTCTTGGACCACTACTTTGTGGTGGAAAACAGAAGTTCTGTGTGTGGATTCAGTTTCATGAGAATGTCCTTTGAAAAGTTAGTGCATATTCAGCCCACGAAAGCTGTTTAAGAAGTTGCTCTTCACGTCCTTATTTAAGTGGCCAAGCATTTTAAAGAAATCAAGTGATCCTTCTGTTGACTTTCCTTTATTCCACAATTAAGTAAATGCTGTTTGATGAAGAAAAGGAGTACGTTACAAGGGAGCTTTTGGCTCCAAAATCACCAGTATTTACATGTTCAATTCACAGGTTTTTAAGCCCGCGTTCAGGCAGCCTCCCCTCCTCTCCGGCAGCTGAGGTGCTGCCTGTGAAGGGTCTGCATGCCAAGGAGGCACCAGATGACGGTGCGCGTCTGACGCCTTATGTAACCAGTTCTGCCTAAATTAACTGAGCTGGTTATCGTCACGGCCGGCGCAGACGGCTTCAGCCCCGTGCAATCCCTGCAGGACCCTGCTGATCCCCGGGGCACCACACATATGGCGAGCGGACAGCTGCAGATGAAGGATTACTTCGGCAAACGGCCACTTGGCATCTTTCTAGAAAAACTGGCCAGAGGTCCGGGCAGGATGTGGTAGGTCCATGTTGCCCCAGGCATGCAGCACCCAGGAGCTTGTGGTGGCAGAGGGGCATGTGTTGTCTTCTCCAGGGGGAGAACAGGCAGATGAGAGTGTTATTTGAATGGTGGACACAGGTTGCTGCCAAAAATGCTATTCTCGTCATTCCTGGCATCCTAGTTACTTGTGTGTCGTTGCATCCCCATGGAAAGCTTCTAAAAAAATACCTTGGGAAGGACAGAGTTTTGTGCAGTGTTTGTGCAGCTGGAAACGTCCATGAGACAAGCTGGGAAAGAATGTGCATAGATATGTTTCCCCGGAGACTTGGGGACTCCTAGGTTTGTTGTGGACCTGGAGACAAAACTTTGGTTTCTGCAGGTTTTTCTGCTTCAGCACCTCTCTGCTCTTGCAGGGATCACCTTCATTCCGAGGTGCACGCATTGGAAGTGACCTGCGATGTAAGTCGGCAAGTATGAACACATGCCCATGCCAGTGCATATGCACAGTCCATGAGTTTCTGATTAATGCTGTGTGCTTATTCTCTTAACACGTGTAAGGAGCAGGAAGACTTCAATGAGACAAAGGTGTGGTACAATCGCTTCAGCAGACTTACTAGCTTTCTGGGCTGCTTTTTCCATTATGTAAAAGCTGTGTTTGTATTAGTATAGCAGTCACCCACCAGCGTGAGGATTACAGCTGGTTTTTACATAATGGATTATCCAAGATTAAGTGTTTTATTCAGACACACGAGCAAAAATAACCAATTAGTGACTTTGCAGATTCATTATTTAAAGGCAGCTGGAGGGCAACTCACTGAACGCTCTCCTGCTGACTGCAGCCCCAGGACCGCAGAGTATCCTCAGGGACCTCCAACACCTCTACCCCAACAGGTAGGTCTTTTATCTGGTATCTCTTGCAGCAGGAGCCTGCAGCTCACATGGCAGCGCAGGGAGCAGAGTAGCTGCTTGGGTACCTGGTAGGCTCAGGCTGGCAGCTCAGCTCCGATGAACATGTCAGGTTTATATATATGTGTTTTAGATTGTCATCAGAACATATGCTGCATATGTGTATGCAGGGGCTCTCTTTTCACAAAAATGAGGGCCAAACATGCTGGGGTGCAGGTGAGCACCGACAGATGAATGCAGGCATGGCCATCTTCTGCCTTACTGCTAGACAAGATCAGCCCTCCAGAGACTCCGTGTAATCTGCTATGACTGTAGGGGAAAAGATCTGAGCAAAGGAAATACTGAAATGTACTTTGCCGTTAGAGGAGGCAGCTCTAGTGCTTGATTGGGTGATGAGAACTGGGCATAATCACAGTTTTGCTGTTTTTTACTGACAGTTTAAAATGACAGTTTTAGCTGGTTTTAAAGAGTGGAGAAGCATAATTAGAAGCAACAGGCTTTCAACCTATGCTGCTTTACCAATTTTTTTTTTTCCATCAAAAGAAAGAAAAAACAGGTATAAAATGTTATAAATTCATACCGACTTTATCTAATAGAGTCTAGCTTGATTTACAGCGTAAAAAATGGCATGAACTGAAATACTGCTAGTGACAACCAAAATGCAAAGGATTTCCCTTGGTGCTCAGATGCACATAGTGAGCTGGATTCCGGCATGAAAATGACTTAGATTTCTCAGTGAAATAGTTCTATACTCAGTGGGGGATGAAGCTAGTTTTTAAAATAAATGAAATGTATCTGTAATACAGCACTGGCTACTACATCTGCTGTGAAATAAGGCTCTGCATGTCTGCTTTTGTCTTGCAGAATGAAATACGCACAGTATGTTTTCCTGGCATCGATCTTCTCCACTGTTGAATATAGCCTAGCACAGTCCTGCGCAGTGGAGTCTTTCTCTGTGAAAGACAATTTTGATCCAAAAAGGGTAAATTTCATTATTTAATCTACTATGTGAAGAAGCCTTACTATATATTTTCCCAAGTTAAGGCTATGTAAAGAGGTTTACTGCAAAGAAGTTATCTTGGTTTATATGCTGTCTTGCAAACAATATTTCCACAGCTTGCTCTTTTTGCTAGTGTTTGACTTGCTGAAAATTATGGAAATACTGGCCTAAAAAGACTGAGATGTTATTCTACTAGACATAATCTTCTGTTAGCTCAGTTTCAGTATGGCTTTCATTTTGAGGCTGTCTCAGGAATACAGCACATTACTAAACAGAGAAGGTACAAACAAGGTACCCCATGGACTTGCATCCAGAGCTGGCCACTCTTGGTAGCCACAGGAAGACTATTTATCTAGCTGTGTATCCCGATCACAGGATTTTGGTTTGGGCTTTTGGTTCTAAACACAGCATTTAATTTGCCAGCCTCTAAAGGGGAAATCACAGCTAACTGTGTGCTGTAAAGGTCAAGTCCCGTGTTCCAGTTCCTGTTTCGACTGCTGCCTGCAAACATCACTTCCAGCCACAAACAGAATTTATGGGTTGCCAGCACTCTTTCATTCAAAGTTTCCAGGACTGGAAAGAAACCCATGTTTAGGGAGAGTTTTAGGATCATCAGTATCTTACTAAATTGGAGTTCTGCTCAGCATCTTGTATGTGGGAGATAATGCACTCTATTTCACTCCTAAGCATTTTCATTACCTTGACTGAAGAGTCAAACTGAGGAGAGATAAGTTCTGCTAAGTGCTGCTTTCCCCACTGGTTTTATCAATAACAGCAACTTTTGAGGGTCTTCCTATCTTGCAGTGACTTGTTTAAATCTTATTTTTATTTAACATGATACTGAATTTTGAATTTATCATGATCTCTAATTATTTTCTTCTTCTAGATCTGATTTCATTTCCCTCTTTTGCACATCTCCCCCCAAGTAGTTTATTTCCTCTTCCTAATTCACACAGTGATTGCTCCTTTCTTCTCCAGGCAGTCCTGTGAGACCTTCATAGATCAGCTTGGGCTCACAGCAGCCAGAAGAGTAGCTACAGGCAGTTTGCTCCAGCCTTTGCAGCTCTGATTTTGTGCCCACATTGTCATCTACCATGGAAAAGCTCGGGCCTAAATGAGAACAGAAGAGAGCTGGTCCAACTCAGGGCAGGCATTTCAGACCTGTGAGACCTGTTCAGAGCTGAGCTGTGGCTACAGTAAAACCTAAGTGGTAAAAAGTCAATCTGTACAGAAAGGTGGAGCTGCTAGGGTCATTCCTGGTGGTGTTTCATGAAGCTCAGAGGCACAGGGTGATCAAACGGAGTGGCAGGACCTGTGTGGTGCCTTCCCACCTAGGGAAGCGTGTGGGTCTCTCCCTTCCTTGCAGTGGTTGCTTGCAGGGGAACTCGGTTTACAGGAGTACCTCCGCATCAGCCTTGCCGTGGCCCTTAATCTGGATGTTGATAATCTCTCCTTTTAGTATGCTGGCAAGTGGTATGCCCTGGCCAAGAAGGACCCAGAAGGCCTCTTCCTTCAGGACAATATCTCCGCTGAATACACCGTGGAGGAGGACGGTACAATGACTGCTTCTTCCAAAGGCCGAGTGAAGCTTTTTGGGTAAGCAAGTACCTGCCAGCTCTAGGTGGTGGCATGAGGAACTGGAGAAGGGATGGACAGAGAACTACCCTGAGTGCACAACCTGCCCCGTCATCAAAGGAAGTTCAATTAAGCTAAAGGTTAAGCTCATGGGAGTCCTTGGGGAATTCTCGGCCTGCCTTGGCCTAGCTCCATCACAAAACCACTGTAAAAGTGCTAGTTCAATTGCAGTGTCCAATCTTTAATTACAGAAATTTAATTATAGAATAGTAAACAAATTGCAATAAGGAGGAAGCAGCTAGTGTAGCCTGGAGGCCCAGGGGTAGCACAACATCTTATATTTCTTTGAGAAGAATGAAATGAGTGTAAATGTGCATTACTTGAGTTCTTTCAACATAGTGTAGGACAGACTTCCCAGGAAAATAGTTAGCTCTTGGATATCGCTGTGGTGCCGGAATGGACAGATGAAAAGAAGCTTAAGAGTTTTTCTTGTCAGTAATACTTACTGTGAGGGATTACAATAGAAAGAGATTAAATAGATTTCTGGATGTACAAAAGAAAAACTGGAGCTTCCAGCAGGTCACACCAGGAATGTTCTTTGTTAATTGCTCCAAACTGCCCAACGGCAGGAACAAAAGAGCAGAGCAGGTGGCTGTGCACCATAGGCTTAACATGGGAGCACTGTTAGGGTATTTTCAGACAGAGCTAAATGAAGCTTTGCACATATTCCATGCAATGTGGGACTTCTCTTCAGAGAAGAGTCCCTCTTCAGAAACCACGTGGGATCTCAAGGTTGCCATAAATTTGCTTATGTAAAGGCAGGCTCAAAAGGAAGCTCATCCTTTGCTAGAAGGGGAACAAAGACCTTAATGCTGGTGCACAAAGCCAGCATTTCCTCTGCACTTCCTGCCACTTGTAATGCAGGTAGAATTCAAAGCAAGATACAAAATTCAAAGACACAGGTAGTATTCAAAGCAAATTAGATATAGGGTCAATAAGGGAAATGGATAAAGAAGATGAGCCGTTCAGGTGACAACAAGGCCGTCTTGTAGCCTGAAGGCATTTCACCACTTTGGATGGTGGAGCAGATGTAATTATTTTCTTATATGTAATAGGAATCTCCTAGGCCAACCTCCAGCCTCTCCCTGGGGATACAACAAATTTTCCCTATCCCAGCACAAGCACAGGCCAGTCCACACCCTTCTGGCAGGGAAGCTAGAAGTATTCACTGCTTTGCGTGGAGGTTGCATAGTTGTACCCAGGCGGGTGCTAAGAAGCACGTGGAGCTGGAGCAGGATAAGAGGAGCTTCCCAACCATGGGAACATTGATTACTGTGCAATGTAAGTGGATTTCCCATCAGTGGATGGGAAATCACAAACTTGCTCTCCTTGATGGCCAGGAGAGAGGCTCTATTAAGAAAAGCTATTCCTGTTGGTGTGCTCAAAGCAAGTGCACTGTACGCCAGGCTGGTGCTCCTTCCGGTCCTGCATGAGGCTGCTGTGGGGCCCCTGCTCAGCAGGGTTTTGCCTTCAGCCCCAGGGATCTCGTTACAGGTTCTGGGTGATCTGTGCCGACATGGCTGCTCAGTACACGGTTCCCGACCCCACCACTCCAGCAAAAATGTACATGACCTACCAGGGCCTGGCCAGCTACCTGTCCAGCGGTGGTGAGTTTCTTCAGTGTCCGCTCTCCCAGCTCTTAAATCCCCCCAAATGTTGGTCTATAGCTTATAGCTGCCCAGATTTGTGTATTTCAATATGTCAGCAGGAAAAACAGCTGAGCTGAGACTCCTCTAGATGCAGGTAAAACATCCCTGGAGGGCTCGAGATCAGGCCCTCCTCACGCAAGTCCCCCTTGCTGAAACTCCTTGAGCTGAATCTCACTAACGGCACCCTACACGCCTTGCATTTCCAGACTGAGTTGCCCATACCCATTGGATAGTACTTTGGAAACTTGGCATGATTTATCTAGCTTGCTAAATATACATATATTCAGATCTGGCAGCCACGCTGTAATATAATTTGTTGACCAAGAAGGCGGGAAAACAGGAACCACACTTTACTGAGGCTTTTTGCACAGGAAACGTGATCTTTCTGGCCTTTAGCACCACTCCTCCCCACAAAACACTCCTGGGAAAGAAAAAGAGAATTTTGTGATCGGAATGTTATCCTGTGAATACTAGAAGGGTAAAAAACAGCAGGGGGAAAAGCACTAACCTCAAAGCCTGACTGAGCAAGAAGTTGTTTTGTTGAGAGGGACCATTGGAACTCGCCTAAGCCCTCATCTGCAGGGTGGAGGTCAGACAGTGTTGAGATGATGTTCAGCTCTATCTGAGACATTCAGTCCTGTTTTCTCTTGGGAAAACTGTCATGTGTTGCATTGACAGGATGAGGTGCATCCAAGGGTGCATTCAAGAAACACCAAGTTTGTCTTAATTCTGTGGGAGATGACTTTCCATCCATTGGGAAGCCACCCTTGCCACATGTTGCTGTAAAGCCTCTCTTGGCTGGATAAGCACCTGTGTCCCCCTTTGACCTGCATTGCCCACCTGACAAGCACATATATTCTGATGTTTCAGGAGACAACTACTGGGTGATTGACACTGACTATGATAACTATGCCATTACCTATGCCTGCCGCAGCCTGAAAGAAGACGGGTCCTGTGATGATGGCTATTCCCTCATCTTCTCACGCAACCCTCGTGGCCTCCCCCCTGCTATTCAGCGCATTGTGCGCCAGAAGCAGGAAGAAATCTGCATGTCTGGGCAGTTCCAGCCTGTGCTTCAGTCAGGTACTTCAAGTTAATTAACAAACTCACAGGAATGGCTGCATTGGCAGCTTGTAGAGCGTTTGCTCTAACTAAGTGCAGCAAAAGTGCTCATTCTTTGAGCAGTAATTTTTTCTAAAGTCACATCTACTAAGAATGTTGCTGCAAGAGCAGGGGTGGCTAAACCCATGACTCCATGGTTCTGTAGCCTCAATTTTCCCCTTTTGGCAGTGTGTGTGCAGAAGCCGCCACACTAAGAAGAAAGTGAAGGCTTCTTTTTCCTAAGACACACACACACACACACAGAAGGACTTGGATAGGTTTAACAGTGTATTGTTTCTGAGCATGGTTTGGGCACCTGTGTAACAGCAACTTAACTTAGGTCTGTGCACTGTGCCATACCAGAAAATCTCCTTCCAGATGGGAACCCCTCACTTTCAGTGAAAGGTAAAAATGTTGAAGAACTTCACAAATTTGCTTGTGTGAACTAAAGTTTGCTTTTCTTTCTTTCCAGGGGCTTGCTAGAAAAATACTTCTGATTCTGTCCTTAAGCACAGAAACCAGACCTCTTGGTCTTGAAGTTGTCATTCAGCTAATTGAGAAAAAAAGAAATCATAGTTTGGACTAGAGTGTTTTTCCTGAGGAGCACATGAAAAAACTTTTTTTTTGTAAATTGTGTGCAATACAGTAATGATATTTGAATTTTCAAGGGAATACCAAACACAGCATTTGTCAATAAATGTTTTTAAAAAAAGCCCGTGTCTTTGCTTTTTGCTACACACTGCTGGGGAGAGGTTTTACTCCTTGGGAAGACAAAGAGGGAGCCAAGGGCAGCATCTCCCCCCACCAAGGGAACATGGGCCAGGGCTGGTGACAGGGACAGATCGCACTGTCACCAGCAGCATGATCTGCAGGACCCAGCTGCAGGACAGTAGCAGGGTGACAAGGCAGGTCCAGGGTCTACCCAGCCAGTCCAAACTATGAATGAGAACAGAGGGGCACAGGGCTGGGCACAGGCACATCTACAACGTGACCCCCCTCTTACCAACACCATCTGTTTAAATTCTGAAGCTCTAAAATCCTCTTGAACAACAGCTCTGAGATGAGGTCAATAATGTGAGCCTTGCTGCCTGAATATAAAATAAATATCATTATTTCTGGCACTGTTTCTAAGGAGATTCTTAATCAACAACACAGTAAAGCAACTGTTCCTATATATAACACCAGGCTGTTTCTTTAATCGAGCTGTCACTTCCGTTCTGTATGGTATAAATGGTAATTTATTCTCCATTACTTCATGATCCAGCCTCAGTATCTGAGAGGCACAGCTGACAGGCTTCTTGGCCAAAAAGCTTGAAGACAGGAGGAACCAAAATTCTAGGTAGATCTTTGTAGGAGAAGTAAAATGTGCATCAGTATTTCTCAGATGTTTGCCATTACTCCTGAGATAATCAAATTCACTTTGAATGTTTCCCGGGAATTTTCTGCAAAGTATGGAGTTCTCCCAGGCTTGCTTTTCTCAAGATTTCCAGGTGGGACATCTAAGCATCTCAACAAGTAGAAACTAGTAGTAAAAAAAAAAGAGTGTTTTCTCTACTGGTGCAAGAATGGTATCTTGAAGTACCATGGTGAACTACCACTGAATGCTTAAGACAGAAATGGAAGAGCAACTGGCCATACAAAGGAAAAACATATAGACTGAGACTATCTAATGTTGAAATACTGTTAGCCTTCTGTTTTGGACTAAGTGCAAGGTCTATGCATTGATTGAATGTTCACCAACTGCACCCCTCTCCCATGAGGAAGTATTAGGGTGGAGTTCTGTGAACTTAGGCCTTGTATCATTATCGATTCGAAAACATTAACCCCTAGCTGAGGTAGCCTAGCCTTTGGCCAAGACATACAGACCAAAACTACAAATTCTAAAGCATTGGGATTTTTAAATGTCTGCAGCTGTAGTGTCTGTATGATCAGAACTGCTGAGAGTTCTAGCAAGCAGGAATTAGATGCTAATGTCCTCACTGAGCTTAGTAGACTATTCAGAGGAGCTAACCCCTGAAATCCCTTCTCTGCCATGCAGTGTTGAGGCTCCGGGATAAAAGAGGATAGCAGTGGTTCTGGGTGTCTGTGCTGCTCAGTTACACAGGACCCATGAGCCTGCCTTGTCCTTGGAAGACCTATGCGCCTGTCAGGTCTGCAAGCTCGTATATTACAATCTGCTTAGTTAATAAATAGATGGGACCACACCAATTAGCTAAATTTTGTTTCCTTCCACAGACTACAGAAAATACATACGGGAGTCAAGCAAGAAGGGGTGTAATTCTGCTTTAATTTCCAGCTGTCTCATCCCATTGAGATAGACATAGGAAATAGTGGCCTTGGAGCTGACTGATTACGTTGCAAACATTTTGTTATCTTACCTTTAATGAACCAGGCTGTTATTCTCCATTTTAACTGTGTACATAGGTCTTTGTCCTGCACAAACTTTCCACTAACAAGAGAAAAGAAAAAGCTGTTTACAAATGAAAAGGGCTATTGTTTTGTCCTTACAAGGTCCTTTGGTACTAACAGAGTAGCTATGACCATGCAAAAGCAGGAGGAACCCTGCAAGGATTATGACCTTCACACATCAGTGAACCTCCTACCACAAGGACACTGCAAATCCTGAGATCTAATGCTATAGTATCACATTGTTTTAGACCAGTCCCGCCTTGGGCACAAACAAGAGTGCCTAGGACTCTGGACACTGAGCACAAGGCTATATATGTATTTTTACATTTCTACTTTAACCTTTTAGTTTCTTATAGTCATACTCCTTACATCTACAAGAAGTTGGAAGTTGGTGCAAGTTGCATAAATGAAGAGGTCTTCTCTACCTTGAGCCCAGACTCTACTTCAAAATAAAGACAGAGTCAGTGACAGAGCGTTACAGAAAAGTCAAGTTTCCTGTAAAATAGTATTTCTTTTATTCTAGAATTTTAATTACACAAAAGGACAGAGCAGCCTAAAACTTACATACTTTGTTATGCATCCTGGAAATATCAAACCATCTCCTCTGATGCCTATTTTTTTAAACTTGCTCACTGACTAAATGAGTAAGTTTATGCAAAGGTCATAAAAATAGCACAAAGGTAAAAAATGCTGAATTTCAAAACCATTTTCAGTACTACAGTACTACAGTACTACAGACCACCATTTTTGTTCAGTTCTGCTTTGCAAAGATTTGCCAATGCCAAGAAAATACATGAAAAAGCATGTGCCATTTACAGAAATATTCAGCAATATGCTCTTGATGATATTAAGAATAGAAATCCTAAAGGAGGGAGCTAGTGACAGATCTTCAAAGTGCTTGGACCTGGTTATCCTAAGAGATCTGATTTTATTCATATCTATCACATGCTGTCTCCTGAACTTGCAAATAAAATTGCTGCCCTTAGGGGGATAAGGGGAACAGGGGAGATTCAACAGGCAATATTATAATGTCTGAAATTTTAAATGGAAAGTTTTGCAAAAAGAGATGCCACAAGTGGGACATCCTGTTAACTCATTTTTTTTGTATCTGAGAAACTAATGAATTAATCATCTCCTTTTTCTCTTCTGCACCACCACAAGGTTGCACGGGTAGAACAGGCTTCTTATTCAAAAAATAAGGAGACACAAAACTGATCTATCTGATTTCTGCAACAACATGGATCTTTCATAGCTAACTTTCAATATAAGTAAATCAACAATACAAAAAAAGAGGTAACAAGCTTCTTCTGATATATACTGACTTTTTATATATATGTCTTTTCCATAATAAAAAAGTGAGGCCATTTGAGGTGATTTGGCCCTGTCCTACTGTGAAACTCGATGTTCTGAGACCTGAATGTTTCACCAAATATGCAAGATTTGTTGTTGTGCTGGTGAAGCACTCCATGTCAGCAAAGAGAGCAGTAGGGGAGTTGTTTGTGCGACAAAGCTGCTTCTCTAACGGAAAACACTCCAGCTGTTTTCACTGGCATTATCTTTCCCTCTATAAGCATTTTAAAGGCAGAGTTCAAAGTGTTCTAGTTTTGAAGACGGAAAGTTAAGGAAAAAAACAGCTCTGTAATTTCAGGGCACTTTTTTGTTACATAAAAGTGTTTGGCTTTTGCAGGGATATCCACTGGTGTTCTGTACCCCTTTATTTGAGGCAATAACATACTCGCAAAAGTGCTTTGCAAAACTCAGAAAGTCAAGGTGTTCTTAGTTTCCTAACTGGCAATGAGTAGCAGCCCTCTATTACATTCAAAAGCATGCCCAAAATGAAAATGAAGAAGGCAAACTGACCATTTTAACTTTACCCTTGCCACCTAAAACCAAGCTTTATCTCACTTATGAGTTTCAGCATGAGATGCTCTAAAGAAGTTCTGCTGGATAAGGAGATGCCAGCTGTAAGAGTGCAGGAAGCCAGGCCAGGTGAGTGCAGCAGAGAAAAAAAGAGGCTGTCTTTCAGGGCTAGTGTCCACAATGAGGGAGCAGTTGAGGGTCACTTACCAACATAAAGACCTCGTGGGGGGAGGGGGCGGGGGGGGGGGCGCGGTGCAAGCACATTACTTAGACTAAAGCAGAAGCAGGTAAATCTTGCTACAGCTTTCTATGTGAAACTTCCCCACTGAGGATGAGTTGCTACTCCTTCTTTTGCCTGTGTGAAGGGAATAGTTCTGACATGGAAATAACAGTCCCAAATGCAAAAGCAGCTGTGTTGAAAACCGTGTATAAGGAAGCAAAGAACTTCTTGTTCAGAGACAGGGCAAATGCTCTGCAATAAATGATTAGAGCATGTGGAAATAACCTGCGGTGCCTCTAGGGATTTGTGGGGACTCTTGAAGTTCCACAGCCATTCATGTAGCCATTCATTCAGTCTCCCAGCTCCCCTTTAAAACAGTCAGTCTGCATGCTGTGGACAGGCAGTGCTGTCTCCTACAGGTGCCTTTGCAACCATCCTTACCTGCACAGTGAAACAATGGTCCTGTTTCTGTTGCACTTTGTGGCTTTCATAAATCTTTGGATGCCCCTGATTTAGCTCAGTGTGACACATGAAATAATAGTTATTTATGCACATAATGGCTAATTACCAAACTGAATCCCAGTCCTTGAGCAGCCTCTTACAATTCTACCAGTTGGTTTGTTGGATGTGTTTGTTTGATAATGTTGCCTTTGAGTTCTGAAGAGTTAATAGGTGCAGTGCTTCTAACTTGCATTCCTAGCTTGCTTCATTGTGTCCCTTCTGTACTCCCTCCTCAGCTAGGGAGGAGTTTATTTTTCTGGAGAGTTGTCATCTGCAGGGGACCGTACACCACCCAGCCACCAAGCCAGGCATCACTCTTCAGATTTGCTTGAAAGTCTCAACATATTTCACAGGGACAGAGGGCAGGCCTGCCTTCCCCCAGTAGTCAATCGCACTCACTCTGTAAAAGCCGGAGACTGAGCTTCCTGCAAACGAGAAGGTTAGATATGGTCACTTTGAAAGGCTCACATCAATGGTGCTTGGAGGACACGGAGAAGGTACTACTCTTACAAAACACAGGTTTGAGGAATAGACTGGGGAAGTGTTGAAATCAGTTCTGCTCCACAAGTAAGTGTGTCTGGGCCTATCTATTTATAAATGGTAGAAGCAAAGGCTGGGTCTTCTTTCATTGCACTAAGAACCTTCTCCATCCTTATTACAATTTGGGAGTTCAGTTACAGGTCTGCTTTTCCCAGCAGTCCCTTTGGAAATGGGCTATCACAACTTCTCTGACTAATAATAACCACTTTCATTTTTTTCTGACTCTACTGAAATTCTGACTGTTATTATGCATTTGGAACAGGAAATGTGTGGACAGGACAACAAAGGAGCAGGACAGAGAGCATGCTGACTGAAAATCCTCTGCTCAGCTCGGAAGGCAACACTATTTAGTCCAAAGGTATGTGAATTGCTATTCCATAGCTCTGATATAGTCTTCATGCTTGCTCTTGTTTGAGGACACAGGTTTCACTGTCAGAGACTGGTACCTCACAAACAAGTTCTCTTATCTACTTCTTTTTTGTGTGTGTGTATGTTCTTGCATATTTCATGGTTTTCTTCTCAAAGGCTAGCAGGTTAGAAATAATAAGTTAGGCAAAAATATCTAGGAATATATAAAGAATGTTGAGATGTGGGATTTTCTCAAACCTTTTTTTTTTCTGCACTGAAACAAACCAATCTGGTACATTCTGCAAATGTGCAATACTACATGATAATGAATTCTAAACTTGAGGACTTGCCTTAACCATGACTTACAGTTTTTGTTTTCCTGCACAGCTTTATATTGCAATACTGTCTCTGGATATTATTATGTGCCTGTTACTAAATCCTAAGCATTGCTCAGGTTAAGGTGAGCTTGCATTTCTGGCAAAATTCTCTTTGAAACTGCTTATTTGTATCTCTTTGAGGAAATGTCTCTCTGTAATTCATTTATCTCTAATCAGTGCCTCATTCTGTAATACTTCTTGGACTGAGTAACACTGCGTATTAGACCACTTACGGTAAAACAAAACAAAATAAGACCAAAAAAAAAATCCTGTCTTCTTCCAGCTTTATTCATTCAACAAGTGTTTCTATTACATTTAGACTGTACTGCAGGAGATATAACCACAGACTCTAAGGGAAGCTTTGCCTAGTGACAAATACGAAACTCATATTCCTCTAAAGTGAAGTATCTAAAACTTAGTCTGCTTGTCAAAGCTAGTTCTGTATCAAAGACAGGGATCTATCCTTGGCTAGGAATTCAAATAGTCAGGAAAAATTGTCCTACTGGAGAGCCTCTTCTGTTCTTACAGGTGGGAACCTCAGTAGCTTGAATATGGTAAGATGTAATCTAGCCAAAGGGTATGGAAATAGGAAAGATCATCAAGGGGAGAACAGATGTGTGAGCTTAATAAGTAGCCCAACACACAAGTAATCTATGGGTCAGTTTTTTATCTTTCCAGTAATTCTGTAAAACATATGTAGTACTTGCTGACGTTGGTTACTGTGTGTCCAACTTAGTACAGTAGAATGTGGAGGAATTTTTGCATGATTCCATACAAGAAATGTGAGACTATGGATGGAGACAGAGAAGCTTCCTAGCCTCTCAGGTTTCTTGCCCAACTCATGGTTCATGGGTCATGGTGAGTGTGGTTTCAACCAAGCAAATTACTCAAAGCAGTGCTACTCCTAACAAAGCCCTCATGACAATTTGTCAAAAAATGCCTGTCCTTGAAAAAAGATTTTCACAAAGAAGCTGGACCTAAAAGAAGAAACATATTCGCATACACGATGACAAGGTACACGAATCAGCATTGTATATATTTCCATAGTCATTAAATGAAATTCATATTTCATGAATTGACTGCTCATCACAGACCACCAAGTACGTGTGGCGGTGCCTTACCCGGACTGTAGACCCAGAGAGTGAATATTGTGTCTTTGGCATTAATCCTCTGATATGCTTTTCCATCTAATGAGAATTCCACTTCAAATGTCTTTATACATCTAGAAGAGAAACCAAGAGGCTGGTTATTACAGCTGATAATGCAGTGAAGGACCAGATGCTTATCTCAAAGAAGGAGAGAGGAATTTTTTAGTGCACGTTCCTACCAAACACAAGTTGGTGTTGTCTTGCGCCTGCCAAAAATTGGTTGCTCTAGGTTACCAGAAATGGAAGACTTCACAGCTCCAATAGCCCACAAAAGAGCACTAAAACTGACTTGCTAATGTTGTATATAAGGGACATCTGAAACTGGTAAGTGCCTTTTACTCTCGTATCAAGAGTTATCAAGGCTAAAGAGACTTAAGAGAGCCTTGCTTGAAAAAGAGTGAAGTCAGTGCTTCCTGAGACACTCTGGATGTAAAATGGGCAACCCATACTTAGCCCATAGGTTTCTGATCTAGTACAGATTGCTGGAGCAAGGAAATGTCAGTTTTCTTTTCCAGGCCACAAACCCGCGGAAGAGTGGCTGTGGCTTTTATTTCAGATCTTCCTATCTGCTCTGCAGGAGACAAGTCCCTCAAAATGCCATTGGGTGCTTGTGAGCTACTGGCTAATTCTCTTGCTGGCAGAATAGTTAGGATTGTTCTCCACGGTACTGCATATGGATCTTTGCTTTTGGTGGGCAAGATGAACCTTGCCAAACACGGTTTCATCCTTCCAAAAAACAAACAAAAAAGCAGTGTAGCATCTCTTAGGGAGATAATAATAAATAATTAATGGCTTACATATATATGTGTGTGTGTGTGTGTGTGTGTGTGTGTGTAAGCCATTAATTATATATAATATATATGAGAATATTAATTAATGTTAATTAATATTAATTAATGTTAATTAATGTTTCACTTTATAAAACAGATGGCAACTTGCAGTCATGTACTGGTGATTTAGATATATCCATTTTACTTTGAAGGGTTCTTACCTTGAATTCACACAGCCATCATCCCACAACACAATAACCTGCCCCTTCACAAGAGGGATCAAGCGAACACCAGTCACCTGCCCAGAACAAACAACCCTGTAAGAAAGCTGTACAAAACAGTCCAGACACTCTTTACTTATCCTGCCTTTAATGTCTTTTTTGATTCATTCCTTTGAGCATAGGGATAAAACAAAATTCGTGGCCATGTGGCTTTGTTAGCCTATGTCTCCAAGTAGTGCAGGTCAACCACCTGATCACTTGCTGAGGAATTTCAGAGGTTCCAGACACGACAATGAACACCACTATGAATTTATGCTCAGGACTGAACAGATTAGAACAGACTTGGTTTAGGAATCTAACCTATGACACTCATGATTCTTTTCTTATTTTTAACTACAACTTTTCCATAAAAAATTAAAATTAAAAAAATGAATTAAATAATTAAAAATTAAAATTAAATTAAAAAATTTTCATCGTTTTTGGTAGTTCCAACCACTTTTGGTGAAATGCTGTATCTTGAATTAAGACCTGGAGTGCCTTCTTTTTTAAGGAGTGAAAAACATTTATTTACTAAATTGTAGAAAACTCAAAAGCTAGTCTACCTCCTAGTGAGATTTAAGGAAGTATTGTGGATGCAGTTCCTAGCTTGGTATCGCTCATTGTAAAAGACAACACATACTTGATCAGGAACAGAACGAGGTCTTGCACATATGTGGACGAGAAAGACAGAAGGAACAGGGAAATCCTGTTTCAGGATCAGGGCGCCACCTTCAGGGACTGGGAATGGGCCCAATGCCAAGGGGTCCTATGAAACCGAACAAAAGCCTTATGAATAATCTTTTACTATCATTATAGCTATTAATGCCTAACTGGTAGATCAGTGTAAAGTAACTGTATTTACTTTGGGGCTGTACATTTCTGTACAACTATGTTAGAGTTGTAAACATATACAGATAAATGGCTAATAATTACAAACACACTCCAGCCAGGGAGACTGTTGTCTAGCTAGTCTGTCTTACAGCTCCTCAGAGAACATGCTAAGCAGATCACAGATTCTATGTGAGATTCCTATTGGAAAACTGTATTTTAAGCCTGTTACTACTCGTAGCCTCCAGACACACTTTTCAGGCTAATGACATTTTATAAACCTCTTTCCTATATCTCCAAGATACAGTGAAAGTCATTCCCAATTACAAGACAGACAGCTGATCTTTGAAGTTAAGTTTTCACAAGATAACCAAAAAGATCCAAAAGCTGTTGCTGCTCAGCAGAAGGAATATCTCCTGAACTTGTTCTGAGTAGTTCCTCTCTTGAGGAGCTATTTGTACTCTCATATAGATTTTTTTTCCCATGCTCTGTTGAGGTAATCATCTGATCCGTCCTTAACCCACACAAGGTTAGGCGACTGAGCAGAAATGGTTTCAAAGCTCATGAAAGTTTCACAGCAGAGGTAGAAATGCTTCACAGCAGCTCTGCCTCCTTAGCTGAGAGTAGGTCAGTCACTTTGCCAAAAGTGGCAAACAGTGAAGAAGTTGACTTACACTTAGCATTTAACTAGTGCTTTGTATTTGTATAATATGAATGCAAAGGCTGACTGTAAGCTAAATTTCTGTCAGTGGCTGCAACTCCATTTTCACACATATGCCCAAGATGTGTATGATTGTGGATTAAGCAAATCCTGGCTACTTGCTTACTTGTAGCTATCAATTCACAGGCAGTTTACCCATTATAGTGAGTACCCTTTGTACCCATTACAATGTTTCAAGCGAACAGATGGTCATACCTCAGCATCCCTTATTTGCTGGAATTGTTCTGGGGAAGGAAAGTCAGGGCTTCCTAGTTTTTTCCAAATCAGGTAGGGATTTGTTTGGTTGTTGTCCAAATAGTATGTCACATAGACCAGATCTTTTGGAACACAAGCAAAAGACAGTAAACCCTTCACTTAGATTTGCAGGCTGACAAAAATAAATTCAACACGAAATGTTGAAGTCTACCTTCTCAAAAATGTTTTCAGCATTCTGGAGTCTGGCATCTGGTCACAAGTCTGAGAATAGCAATCCTGGAAAGCCCTAAAACTTATATTTTCCAGCTCAAAGTTCAAGCTATTACTTCCATTTCCAAAATAGAAACAATCATATACATTCATAGGTGTTTGCTTATATCTCTTAAACAATTGTGTAATCATGTGGTCATGTTGGCTATCTTGGAGTGACCTCAGTATAGGAAATTGTTGCTTGGAAATTTCCAGCCGAGGACACTGAGATGAATAGCTTTCTGAATAGGCAGCATTTACAGCTGTCATTATGGCAAGGGCAAAGTGCAGGCATTAAGAAACTTTCCTAGTAGCACAGCATTAGATCTCAGAAAATATTGGGATAGCCCAAAGACTGAGACTTAGAGTTAGCAAATGCAACTCTCACTCTTGCCATGAAATACAACTCTGCAGAAATGCTTCAGCACATGTAATCTGCTAATGATCAATGATACATGATGCCTACATGGCAGCTTCTTACCCTCAAATTTGGGGAACTGGGTGACATTCACAGTGACAGTACTGATGTTGGCTGAAGTCCTGTTATCTTCACTTAAATACATCAGTAGAGTAGCTTGCCAGCTGTCGGAGGTCTCCTGCTCAGCAGGTGTGTGCAGGGATGCCAGGACACCGAGTGTGCTGTTCTCTGTGCTTTCGCCATCACTGCTGAGTACTTCTGCAAAAACTTGCTTTTCTCCTTTAAAGAAACCCAACAACTCTGTAAGCACCACTACACTTCTGATAGAAAGAAAGAGCTAAACAAGGGGTGGGCTCTAGGCTGAACAGTGCTCTAGCTTAATATACCGGGGATGGCATCAGTCAGGCTTATGGGTGGTTTTTACAACTGCAGAGCACTCACTACTGCAGTTCTTTTGCTTAGCTGTTCATTAGCAGAATCAAAGCACATTGAAGTAAAATAAGACTCTCTTTAGTATGTTGTCTATGTTTAGGATGTCTTAAAGCCACCTGCAGCTTGAAGTGATAGCACATAAGGGAAGTAAGAATCCACAAAAAAAGGAATAGTTGGCATACAGAGTATAAAAACAAAGCAGGAGAATTAATAAAGGGATCACAGACTGTGAGAAAGATCTTCCAAGCTACTAATTTCTCAGGGGAAATGAAAAGTTCATTTTCTTAACACTCTCATCTAGAAAATCAGAGAGCAGGGTAAATCCCAATTTTATTGGTATGAGATGGATAAAATAATACTTCTCAAACACGAAGCTTGTTGTTAGGTGAGATTGATGTGATTTCAATCAGTGGTTACTATACCTAGCAGTGCCAGTAAGCCCATGACAGTTAGTACTGGTTTCCGCACCATCTGGACATGTGGTGGCTTTGTATTGTTCATCTGAAACCGTGCTGTTAGAGTCCTCTGTGTGAAGTAATGGGGATAGTAGTTCATGAAGGCATTGTCATTACTCAGTAAAGTATAATTGATGGTGTTGTTAGGTTTGGAAATGAGCAGGTTTTGATGCTGGATGATTACCTGCAAAATCACAGAGAAGACGGGACTTCAGCTTGCAGAAATCCAGCAAATGAATGATGTCTTTCTTTTCACACTTGAAAAAAACAACTGTCATACTGTAATTTAAAGCTCTGAAAAATTAACAGTTTCTCATAGCTTTTACAGAAACTAATTACTTAATGATGGTTTATACATAACTCATTGAAAAAAAATTAAGTATATACAGTTCATACAATAAAAAGCCTCTGAAATGATTATTTCATGAGTAGCAGTATGCATAAATTTTTTATATATTTTCTTAGCTACTGTAGCTATCACTAAAAAAGTATTCCTCTGACTTGAATATGGATTTACCTGGATAATAAAAAATTAAATGAGTGGTCCTCTAATTCTGCAGTTACTTTGTGCCTGTTAAACTAGTGTCCCTCGGATAGCTGGTCTAGGATTCTCTTCATCAGCGAGAATTCTGTTCATCAACAAGTAATTTTACCTACTTTGTGCTTACATGGAACTAGCTTTTTCCCAGTATTTCACTGATGACAGTGCTATTAACCTACAAAAATCTAGCACTCGTAAGCTCTCTCTCCTAAGTTTCCAGATTCGGCCTAAATATCAGAATGAATCAGAATTGCAGAACTCTAACAATAGAAATGGTCTCAATTGTGGTCCTAAAGAAACTCTACTTAACAACACAGGATACCAGCTGTCATCTGGGTAGTCATCTACCCAGATACTAATCTTCAGCTGGATGTATGTTTTTTCTCCCTTTACATCATGACTTCACTATACTGTCTAATCATTGCTATCTGTTCTCAGCAGGCAGCCTAAAATGTAGTCAGTGACTTGCTGCTTTGGAGAACCCTCCTCAATGAAGCCTATAGGAGCTGGGAACCACTATGAGTCTCTCCTGGAGCCACAGATGAGTTATACCCAGTTTCTGGGTGATTCTCCCAAAGAGATGCTGTATAATGGTTCACAAGCCAACGGGAATGCAGTGAGTTCTCACTCTGCAGGATTAAACACTCAGCTTGCTTCGGGGCCAGGCTACAGTTTCTGCAAGGGTGGGAATGCTGTGAATTCTGCTTTACTTCTGCTTTTCTGACTAAGCCCACTGATAGTAAAATAAGACCAGCAGCAGTAATGAAAGGACCAGGTGCAGAGTCATCCAAAGCCAAAGAACAACCCAGTGCTGATGGCTCAACAGACTTCCTAATTATTTCAGTGTCTTTCAGTGAGGTGGCAGGATCTAGACAATAATGTCCAACAGAAATGAGGTGATAGTATTTATGGACATATGTGTGTGGATAGTCTTATCAGTTGGATCTAACTAGGGAACTACAGAAAATTTCTCACACATTGTGCAACACATGAAAGGCTAAAGGAACTAGCTCTTGGATTTTTTAAAGGAAAGATGAGGAAAATAAAGGTAAACTAAATAAAACTACCAAGAACAAACTATTCAGAGGAAAGCCCAGCTGCTTGTATTATTATTATGGCTCTATTTTTCTGACTAGCCATTCAAAAATTGGAAAGTAAAATTTAAAATTATAAGTAGAAAAATATCTGCTTTTGTGACTGCATTATTGCTTCAGAAGACTCTACTGCAACAGGACTGTCAGTGATCTAAATTACCTTTACCACCATAGCTGCATAGGTGACATCAGCTCGCCACAGCTGTGGAACTGACCATCCAACCATCGGATCTGCTTCATCATTATATATGGGAACTGAAACAAAATTTGGAAACAGCTTCTGAATTTGCTCAACTGCGTCCACTTCTTGTTGCAAAATGTAGTGAGAACTCCCAGCTCCCTGCAACAATATTTTATATCTGCTTAGTGAAAATGAGAAAACAGTGGCAAATGTACAGTATTCCCTGAAAATATGTTCTTGGTTTTCCAGAGAAATATGGACCAGAAAGAATTAGAAATTTGTACTTAATCCACTACAGTATGTGGGGTTCAGATAAGGATCTTTTAGAAAATAAAATGAAAAGAAATATAGGAGTATTCCCACCTAGGAATAAGAAACAGGTAAATTTGCTTTGAGTTGACATCCTTCAGCTGAACATTTTCAAACATTCTTTAGAATTGGTTGCTATTCTTCCTGTTATAGGCAGGATCTCCATAAATCAGAATAAAGTCAAATTTGACACTGAAGTGATTAAGAAATAGCTTTGTTTAAATCGTATTCCTGGAGTAACCTTTTTATGGAGAGAGATGTAGTCCAGTCTAACACCAGTCTCTCCTGTGAAGAAGTTGGTTCCATTGTAGCAGTGATGTAGGAGACTCCAGCATATAGGTGACTTGGGGAAGGGGTGAAAGGAGTCTCCAGGCCCACCAAATTTCAACAGAGGACTCGCTGCTCTTAGTCCTTCTGAGCAAGCATCATAATAGTTGAGAAATCCTGAAATTCAAGAAGACACATATATGAAAGGTGCTAATATCTCAAAACAGAATCTTGATATAAAACTAAGGGAATATGTTATAATTCTTTCTATTATGCATTCATTGCTAGGAAACATATTCATTGAGTATCAGAACCTGGGGCTACTCTTTTCTGTGCACTGAGGACACCAGAATTCAAAACCTCAGCTTCATTCAAGAAGTTCCTCCACAGACCTTGTGAGGACAGGTTTCCAAAGGATTCGTTAGTCAACACACAGTAGTCCTCTAATCCCACCACTACTATCCTACCCCAAATAACCCAATTTTATATCCAAATAATGAACAAGGTCTTATTAATGTAGCTGTTGTTTCTGTTTTCCCTGTTGCTATTTCCATTCATGCAGGGGAAGTGCCTACTGCAGTCAGTAATGTGACCTTAGCAAAACATACTAGATACATCTCAATATTTCTTATCTATCTCATTTCTTTGCCAGTATCTCTACTTTCTCTCTGTTAGACCTCAGCTCTTATGTTATTAAAGAAACAAGTGATCCAAAGTGCTTACCTTTAACTGTCATAGACACATTATCAAAGTCATGATGATCTGGTTCATTCCAAGTTTCAAAATTCCATTTAGCAACATGTCCCAATCCGTATCGACCTATAAAAGAGGCTTCCTTTAGCAATGATCTTCAGTTTATGTACAGACAATTTCTATCAGTTAATATGAGAATTTCTATCAGTTAATATGAGAAACTGATATGAAATAAACCCTAAAACAGGGTGTAAATATTATTTACTGTTTAAAACTAGGAATGTACAATTTTGGCAATTTTTGAATGATTTCTCATTTGAGATAAAATATAGTAATATTTGAAAAAGATGACAGGATCCACTTCCAAAAAAATAGAGGGTAGGATGATGTGGTTAGGACATTCATTCAACCTACAGAAGATCCAAGTTCAGGCCTCTCTGAAGAGAAACCTTCTCTATAGAGAACTCTGGTGGGGAGATAGTTGTCATATGAGAAAGATACAAGTTATAATGCCATAAGGCAAACCAACTATTTATGGCCACAACAACAGGAAGAACGTAAAACTCAGAACTCAGAAGTAGGCCAAGTGTGATGTTCAGAACACATTACTTGTTCAAGGTGCTGCTTTTGACAGCAGAAGAGCAGAAAGGGAGCTATTGCCCCACTGGCTGTTATGACATGAGTCTTCTGCTCTGGAATCCCTTTTTTTGGTTAATGACTGCAATCCCTTGACCTGCAGGGGGTAGTGAGAAGATGAGATAAAAAGAATAAATAGCCAAGTAGTTGTTTTTTTTCTTTGAACTTACCTATATATCTCCTGGCCAGAAGTGTAATTAAGTTCCTCCATCTTACTACCTGGTCTTTATCTTCAAAATCTATAAAAAATCCTGATGGATTTCCCATCAATTCAAATCCTAAAACAGATCCAGAAGATTAGCTTCCTTTTTTTATGAATGATATTTCCTTTTGATTAACTTGAGAGTTATTGTATTATCTGACCCTAACTGCTTAATGAAGGATAGATAATGAAGAAGCATCCCTTAAGTAGGGATGCCTGGTTTCTGCAGGCATATTTCAGATTTGAGGTTGCTCATCAAGTTTCTGATCAATGACATTATCCAAAGTAAACCTTAAACCAAAAATTCAAGGTTCAAGTGGAAACTTCAAATATTGCATGTTTGTAGAAATTCAAATGAATATAAACCTAAAAGAACTGCATCTCTATCCCCTTGCTAGGCATACAGTTTTCTCCTCTGAGGAAAGTGCTTTTCACAATTCATATATCTCAGATTAGTGTTGAAAATAACAAAAAGCAATAGGAGTGTGTTGTCTTAATTGCCCCAAAGGTATTATTTCACACAGAAATTGAATTCACATTGACAGAACATAAATGCAAACAGAAAACTGAATTATTATCAAAGTTATCTTTGGTAAAGATCACTAAGATTTATCTGATAACTGCACAATATGGACAAACAGATAAAGCAAGCTGTGAAGGCAAGCAGCTACCTGGAATTAACTTATTCTCCCATAGGCGATCCATAAGGTTATCCAAGGCAGTAAAATTGTAGTGAAGTTTTCCATTTGTCGCACTGAAGAATACAGATAACAGAAAATCAAACATAATTATTGTAGCAAAGGCTGTAGATAATTGCCAGAGGAGTGTATTACTTCACTCTCAAAATTTACGTTTGGATACAAAATTCTTCTCTTTATTCAGAGTATATAAGCAAGCTGTTTTCTCCTACCCAGCTCATGCTGCTCCCAGAAGAAGCAAAGAAGCAATATAATGAATTTGAATGAAGTTTTCAGTACTGTGTAAGGATCTCTAACTTTTTGCTCAAGTAAAATTTGCCCTGACTTTCTTTTGCGATTTTGCTATTTCAGTTTCTACTGAAATAGTATTATCTACTACTAGGGCAAATGGCTTCCACCTTAGCTCAGTTTTTCTTAATTATCTTTATTTTGCAATATTTCTTGCAGTTTTCTTAGCAGTAGGATTTCCAGGTTTAGTTCCAAATGAGAAATAGCTCTTTTTCAGAGAGCACTGAAAACCTTAGAGTAGTTCTACTAAATAATTCGTGTCAGTGAATTTTGAAGAAGCACAGTAAAATTCTGGGAATGCACTAACATAGGAACACTAGAATTCTTTTATGCAGGGGCCAAAAACTGCGATTTGCCATTTGTCTACGCTTGACTTTAAATTCCTGAAGGTCTTCTTGCCTGATATTCAATGAAAACATATATATTCTATGTGTGGGTCAATGTGTATTTTCCCTTAACACACTCTAGACTGACATCTTGTCACTATAAAGCGCCAAACAGGAATTAAAAATAAACTGTTGTCGGCAATATTCTGGTAATGTGATTTGCTGCCATTTGGCATAAGCCTCAGCCTTGGCTTGGTGTACGATTTCTGTCCTCAGTATGCCCCGAAAAAAAGGCTTTGTAAGCACCCTTGAGGTCAGGGCAAGCCCTTGTATACGAGGGCTGCTCAGTGCACGTTAAAGCAGCTCCCTCCAGCCTTGAATCAGCTCAGTTCTGTCGTACTGTTCAGCCTGGGCTTTGCCTCTGCTGCCTTGCCTGCTCTTTCCCGGGTTTCTGCTTGGGTGTAAAGCTGTGTAAGGGAACTGCAGATATAATCACCTAGGCAATTATTTATAGGGACTGTTACCAGTGATAGCAAGATACAGTGGGCACACAGGGAGGAGTGGGAATAGGACAGGTACCATGGGATCTCTTAAATCAGGGCTGGGTTCTGTACTGAGATTCACAACATGTTTCTTGGTTCTTAGTAGGGCAGGGGGACTCCAAAACACTTAAGGTCAAAGAAGTTCTCCCTCTCTGCTTTTTTTGCCAAGTAAATGTTTCATTTAAGAACCTGTAGCAAAAACTCTGAAGTCCTGGAAAAGTGAAATATATAAGCAAAGTTAACAAAATTGCCTAGTGAAAAAAGAAGAGAATTATGTCATCTGAAGAAGACAAAGCTCTGACAGCATCTCTGACTGCTGTCTAGCGATACCTGCTGTTACATTCCTAACTAGCAAACTCAGAGGAAAACAGGACAGGCAAAACAAAAGCAATCTAAGCCATATGTACCAAGCCCATCTATGAAGCAGCCAAGAATACAACAGTTCCAACGTGGCCATGGCATTTACCAAAGATCTGAAATTCTATTCTCTTTTAAAATATGTCCTATCACCAGGACAGAAATTGATTTGTCTGCAGCTACTAACTGGATTACAGTTCCTGCCACATACAAACCATGCAGCTGTGAAAGAAAACACATTACAGAAAGATATTTTACTTTAATAGTCATAAAAATATTTTAGAAATTACTCGTGATTTAAAGAATGGCTACTTGGATTTTTTTTTTTACCTAGATATTTAAAAGCCTGCCAGTCCCATTCCAAAGTTCAAAGAAAAATATTTTGCTGCAAAATGTAGTTCTGCTCCCTCAGATCCATTAACTCTATTTTGAGTTATACCCTGTGTTCTATTGAAATATTTGCTTACTTATGCACTTACAGTCCGTAAGCATAAGAATCATTAACTTTACTGTCTCGTAAAAACTTAATAATCTTGTTCAAATAATAGCACAGCAAGAAGTGTCTTCCTAACTCCAGTCTAAGCTCTACACAGTACTATGTAAGAACACAAGTAAATAAGGCTCTACCCATGCACATGGGTATATGTCTGCATTAGGACATCTGTATTTTTTAAGTAAAATATCTAAACCAAAACATCATAGCTAAACAAAAAAGCAGACATTTTAGGTTTTAGGTGCTATTACATTTGTAAAAATACAGGTACTTCTTACATCCTTCAGCTGATCTGCCATTTTGTGAGAATCTTTTCTTGCTTGCAAATTGACTAGGCAGTATGCTCCTACCACCTGACTACTTTAATGATGACCTTACTCTTATCCATGCTACTTTACCTAAGTAAAACTGAGAGGTTTTGTTTTTCAAAGACCTGCATGTGACTACTAGAATTCAGACTGCATCATTGCCAGTCATGAGGTGTTCGGAAGCTGAGGGACAGCAGTAACATTATACATTGCTTTGATTTTTCCAAATATTCTTCATAGTGAAAACTTGGCTCAGCTGTCAGGCTGACATCAGCAGCAATATTAAACAAAATTTTCAGACATTGATGACCTGAGCAAAACTGCTACAGACATGTAACAAGGCCAATCACTGATCCAGGACAAATTGACTTGACACAGTCAAAGTTGTTCAAAACAGCTTTGTACATCTGACCTGTTTGTGCAATTTCATCTATCTGTGCATAGGTCCTTCGTAGCAAGTTTATAGACTTTTACTGGTCTTTTACCTCTTCTTTGCCTACTTCCTTTCTGATATTTCACTCTTAAGTTGTGGTCATGGGATGCCACTGTTTTCCACCATGAACGGGCAGAAGTCTTTATCCATGGCACTTCAGTTTTATGTTTGCCAAGCTCTGATTGTTCATTGTTTGTTCTTGAGTCTTTCCAAAGTGGAGTAGCAACCCCTGTCCCAGTAACTCCGTGACTGGCTTTGAAACGTCCTTTAGTTGGGCATTCTTTATGGAAGACTTGCCAGATATCTCAACCATGTTTACAGGCAACCCAGCAACAAGACCCTAACCAGCCCCAGGCCTGATGCTGGTTTACTCCAGAGACTGCTGCCTGCTGGTGAAGTCCTTCCAGCCTAGGCCTTGCCATGGCCTCAGTTCCAAGCACATCTGCACATGCTGTCTTCTGTGTTGGGGGAAGCTGTATGGTGAACATGACAGAAGAGTAGCCTCTGTAACAACAGGTGGAATGATCAACAGGCTATAACTCTTTCATGCCACCTTCATTTTAAATGCACTCACTAACTGAAATCTCTTGGGAGGAAAGGGATGAGCTGGTTTTGGTTGTTGTCAACACCCTGCATCACAACCAGATCTCCTCCACTTAGCATAGCTGTGCATGCTGCTCCCCAGATCACAGCTACATCTCCCACCCATGCACTGAAGGTTGTATCTGCTGCTGCTTTTCTGACCTTAGTTCATCTAGTCTAGGGTTATAATGGTAAGTTCAGGAAAGCAAATGTGCACACAGACATTGGACCAAGTATCTTATCTACAAAGAGCAAGAAAACATAGGCAGGGAGTGTTCCTTTCCCAGTAATCTTCAGTCAAGTACTGAATCTCTGACAGCACTTCAAGTAAACTTCATCAAACTTTATTGTCATATTTTAACAGTATTTCCAGGAATAGGAAGTCATATGGCTGGTACCATGCAGGTAGGTCACAGTCCCACATAAGCAATTTAAAGGCGCCATCTGGCTTGACTATCACTAGAGGTATTTCATTAGTTTTACCTGGCCTAGCAAATACATGATACAAAAAACATGACCAGTAAATAATACACACACACTCACACATACAGACATGTATGTGTATATATAGCTGAGGACAAGGCTTTTCTTATTCTTACATTCTCACTCAGCTGGTGTGGTAACCTTTTGCTTTTCTGGTGGACACAGTTATAAACACCTCAGAAGCTGAGTGATGACTGATAATTTAGCTTGCTTTGCCCATGTCTGAAGACAGCAACACAGATAGACCTGTCATTGCCTGTCTGCATCCTCTCCTCAGGTAGATGAGTGGTAGTGACTGGCTACAACCACTCCTAAGACAGCAGAGCTTGCTTACATCTCTGTTAGGGGCTTATACTGGGAAAGACTGATGGACCAGTGGCAAATGCAGCCAAAAAATAGAGACAGAAAACGCACAAGGTGCTGGCAACAGTGAAGTGCAAACAACATCTTTGCAGGAAGCAAAAATCTTCAGCAAAGCAGTGTCTGACCTAAGAATTGAAAGGCACATTCCCTAAGAGAGCTACCCCAAAAAAGTCTGTGTTCCCTGGGATGCTTTCTCCATTACAGTCCTACTTCAAAGAGTTAACTGCAATGCAGTCTGAGATGCCAGGCACTGTGTGGTATTTTCAGCTGAGACAATTACCATGTCATGTGCTAGCATTAAGTTGACAGATATGCTTAGCTGTGTACCAAACCATCTCTGTCCTGCCTAGTAGTCTGGTTCATGCAAGCACCCACTCCCTTGGTCACAGTGCCAGCACACATACTGATGGTCTTTGGCTGGATACCACAGTCGTTGTTTTTATGAGTATCAATATGAATCAAAACTACATGCTCCCTCTCCAAAGTAAGCAATTGCTGCTGTGATTACTATGAGGACCTTTGTTAGATACAGTGTCCCAAGGAACAGTTTCCTGCTTTAGTAGTGCCCCGATGCCATTTTAGAGACTGTGAGATTCCAGAGCAGATGCTACGTAGTAGATGAGTCAAGCTGAAAAAGGTGTCCCTCTGCCCTGGAAAGGAGCTCAGTGTCCAGAGCTGACTCGCTCTATGCGCAGGTAAAGAGAGAACTGCTCCTAGGTGATGCTGACTGGAAAGATGTAAGCACTGACCAGCTACGCCACCTCCATCTACTACTGCCACCATGTTCTCCAGAAAAACCTGTCTTCAGAAGTAACTGTCTTTAAATTTGGCCACAAAACCAAGCTAGGGAAGTAGGTGTGTAGCATATGAGCTTTGGGACTCAATATCTTCAAGATGAAAGTCAAGAGTTCTGGATATGGTATGTTAACAGGTTTATCTTTTTCAAGACAGCGACGTGTCCCACTTACCACACAGAAGGATCCTATTTCTTTGTTTTTCACTTGATATTTGGTAGCTATGAGGAATGAACTGGAGACAGTTTAAAGTTCAGGCTGCTGCAAAGACTGTGCTCCAAAACCACAATTTGTCTACATTATTCTGCTTTATAACACCTTATGCAGTATACCGCCTTATTCTGTTGAGTACTTAGAAAAGAAAAAATTCTGACCTTAAAACCAGGTCCTAGAGGTCTGTGAGCATTATGAAGGGCAGCATACATCATTAGCATTCACCTTTCCAGAGGCTGCCTTCTCAGCAGTTATTGCTTCAGCTTTCCTCAACATCAACAAAAAAAACCTACTAAAAACTACTAAACCGATACCTAAGGTTTAAGCGCAAGATGATTAATGAATAACTATGAAATGACCCAGCTTGTAGTTTATTAATAAACACCTCTTTGCCATTTAAACTTGGTGGGAGCTGGCAGTACACTATCCACTCATAGCACATCTGCTTCCACCATGTTCTTGCTCCACTTATTTTTGCTTCTTATGATCATTTCAGCTACAGTAAATCTTGCTCCCTCTCTGAAACTCCTATGTCCCCAAATAACCATGATTATGTGAGGAGACAGATGGAGCATTTTGTATGTTCTTATGTTCTGCCTCTTCCTCCTTTGCACGAAAAACACAAACTATGATTTTCACACAGGCTCTGCAGATCAAATTAGCCCCTAATTTTGTGGGGTTTTTATTCACAGCTCTAACGCAGAAGAGTACTGCACCCACCGTAGCAAACAGACATATTTTATCACTTCCACTTTTATTAGCAATAATGCTTATCTGCATCTGCTTCCCAACTGTGTAATTTATGTGAGCAGGGATCAAAAGTCTGCCTGCTTTACAGGCTGGGTGGTATGGCTTCTGTACAGGCAGAATGCCAGAGACTTCAGTGCGCGCAGCGCAGCTCTCTGAAGGCTGAAGGAGGCCTTGCTGCGCACAGCCAGGCTTCGCTGTGGTGGGAGTGAGTCAGCTCAGCAATAAGGGGAGGATGGATTACAGCGCCGCAGAGCCAGGCAGCAGCCAGCCCTTGCTGATGTCACAGCTTGTCATAGTTAATCCATCCACACAACCAACCGGCATGATATATGCACATAGCGAAGGAGGGGGATGAATTGTTGTGCTTTAGGAACAAATTGGCTTCATATATGCAAAACACAACCTCTGTTATTTTTTGGAAATCACTATTTCCTGCACAAGCCAGCCGGAAGCCTGTGCATTCAGCTGAATCTTTTTTTTTCCCCATTTTTTTCTTTTTTTTTAATGCATAAAGAACAGAATTGATTTTGATATTTTGATTTATACAGCATCTTATATTGCTGCTTTACTCTTTAAAATCAGCATCACTTGACTTCTACTTTGCAAAGCAACTCACAAAATCCTTGTTGCAATACGGCTAAATCTGACGTGCACACAAAGGCAAGCAAACAATGAACGCTCCCGAGCTGCTAGAAATCACGGCCTATGATTTACCACTTCTTACTCAGCCTGCTGCTGTGAGCACAGCCTCGGTCCTCCTTTCAGCAATGTGCGCGCTGTGTGTGAGGGAAGAGGGAGAGAGGCAGACAAACCATCAGCAGCTCCCTGTGCAGAGGTGAGTTAGCTTGTCAGGAAAATACTGTCAAGTCTCCTGTGTCTCTTTCCCCCATCTCTTCCCAAATTGTGAAACAAATTCAAGATGTGACAGGGAAAACAGGCTAGGGAAGTATAACAATCTAGGCAACAGTGCAAGGTATTTTATAATTTGTCATTTCCAGCCATGTCAACATATCTAATCAGACCATCTAAGCACAAAGAATTTATATATTGATAATGAGATCTGTTGTGTCTACATTCATTTATGAAGGCAAATAATCAAATCATGATAAGCAAAACCCAGCAACAGGGAATGCTTTTTGACTGTTCTTTTCAATATAAATTTAAGGGCACTTTTTGAAATATAGGCTTGGTCACTGCATGTAAGTAAGCTGCTAGGTCTGACATTTTTTTCTGATTGGATTTGCTTTATGGAGGTAATTTTGTACCTGTGTAATTCATGACTGCAAGTATAATGTTAGCTGTGGTTCACAAGCAAACATCTTGAAGAGAGGTGGTGGGGAGACTAAATACCTACTGAAGATTAAAGGGTGAGTAAATTCACAAAGAATGATGACCCAATGCTAGCACTACCTTGAATCAAACTCCTTTTGGCAATGCCAAGGAAAGCTATCACTGAACTTTTTCCTTCAAAATGGCAACTGAACTGTTTCTATATACATCCAGAATCCTGATTCAAGCACTCAGACCAATATTTCTTCTTTACTGTTAGGAGTCTCCAATGTATATAACTGATATTATCTTATGCTCTTATTTCACAATTGATATTGTTATTTCTTATGTTTCACAGTTTTGTGTTTTTATTATTTTGCCTGTTACATCTATGTGGCAATATAATCCAAAAGTATGTGAATCACAATGTAGTGTAGTACATACCTTATTAACCTTCACAGCCCAACAAATCTGAACTGTTGCCCTCCCTTGAAAAGGGCTGCTGCACAGTACACTGTGAAAACTGAATGAATTCAGCAGCATTCCACTGAGTACTCACATGCACCCATGTTGCTTACAGGTTTCACTCATATACTGTAACTGGAACTGAAATTTTGTGAAACTGTTGATTTTTTTCTATCTTAATATTCTCAAAATCTATTTCCACTTGGTAGAATGAAGATGCTTAGTGAGAAGCCTCTAATTTGACACTTAAAAAAACGCTATGAAAACCAAAAACATGTAACTAAATAACAAAGGTGCGAAAATTTACAGCTAGCTTTCTAAGCTTGTGCACTTCTCTAATGTCTATCTGATGTAGAGAAAATTCATGGTGTCTAATTAAGTCCAGCTGTTCCTTAATCAATTTTCATGATAGCTATACTTTGAGGTATAGCTTTCTATGAGGATTCTTATCTGCAAAAGACCATCATCTCAGTAGCATGTCTTATTTTAATATCTTCCCACTATGCCAAATGAAAATTAGAAGAGATCTTCACTAGCTGATACTGAGTTCATTTCCTAATTTACTCATATTTGATGACTTATGATGGTGAAAACAGAGACAATGCCAAGACTGCTTGCTTTTACTCTTTCAGAATTTTTATGATGAATGATTTCTGTATACTTCAGAACTGATATATGAATGCTATAACCCAGTTCAGATGGAGCAAATCTTTAAATGGCAGTCCAACATCACCTCATGACTCTACAATATAAAAACGGCAAAACCTCTTAAGACTGAGAAGATAAAATCTATTGCATTTACAGACAGTTTTGAATGAGATATTAACTTCTGGCTCTCCACAGACTAAGAATTGGTAATTCCATTTGCAACCTACTCTTGCCATTACTGAAAACTCTTCCACTCCTTGCTTTTCTTTAATTCATATTTAGTCTTTTTTTGTTCTTTCTCCCTCCAATTCTTTGGAATTTATGCCGGAATGGAAGATACTGTCCTTTTCACTATAAAAATGAACTATGTTCTGTAATTACATGATTAATCTAAACTATGGCTAGTAAACAGTGCTTTGATTTTTTTCACACACTGCTTGAGTACCCAGTTAAGAATGTGCATAAATTCAAAGAAGGAGTGAAGGAAACGTTCCTGGAAAACTAGCCTTGCTATTTTTATTTCTAAGACTTAAGAATATTGGTAGTAATATTCTTTGTAAATTTTTCAATAAACAGACTTTTGTTCCAAGGGCCTATCTGTTTAGGGTTGAAAGGGCTGAAGAGGAAAGGTTATCATGTGGCAAAGCTACTAACTGACTACTATGAGTCTTTTACCCTTACACACTCTGCAAGCGAATTCCATGATAGCCTCCAGTCTGGGGAGCATCTTTCATTTAGATGTCATTCTTCCAGAGGAGATGATGTTGTGAGATTTTGTAGGTTAATTTTGTTTTTCATAGGACCAAATCTTGGAAGTAATTTTCAGTCATTAAGACCAATTATTATTACTTAGGACATCATCCTGGGAAAAGAGCAGAGTGCCATGAAGACAACACATCATTTGTTTTGCAGACAAAAGGTGACAAGCAAACAAGCTCTAGCATTTTACACTTAATGGCACCTGAAGTATGTAAATTCTTCCTAGACATATAATTTGTTAGTCAGGCCCCCTCCATAACATGTTTTCATGAAAATCCATTTCCAAAGCGTATGGTTATATTAACTACGGTACACGACCCCATACTGTGTAGGAAAGTTCCACACAGTGCCTATCTTAATCCTGATTACATGCAGTAATGTATTTTTGGTTTAAATGAAGCAAATATACAAAATCCATGAAACTGCCTTGGCAGCAACTATACTTTTAGTTGATCTCCACATAGGACAACAGGCTGTATTAAAAAAAAAGCTAGGATGAGTTAGAAGGCAGAGGTCCCTGGTTCCTGAAGAACATCATATTTGCACAAGTCAGAAAACTAAATCTGTACTTTAATGATTTTAACCTTATCTGTTACCTGCAATTACACCATGTAGGACAAAGATCTTTTCCAGTACATTTTTTAATGTTATCTGACTGTAAATACTAGTGGAGTAATATAACTGGACAGACCCAACCTTTATCACAACAGAATTTGTAATCTATTCTGTAGAAAGCTCCAGAGGAACGGTGCCACTGTTCTGGGACTATTGTGCTACTCTTTCGGGACTACTGGGCTAATACTATTGTGAGACAACTGCAGCTACCCTGTGCCTTTGGTAAGTGCTACTCAATGGCTCTATGTTTGCAGTAAGAAAGAGAAGAGAAGCCTGGTAAAAGTTGGTCTTGTTCAGTTTAGAGCATGCACATTTGCCCTGAAAATGACGAATTTCAGCTTCTTCTGTCTGCAGGGGGAAGAAATGTCTGTAGAAGAAATATATATATCTATACATATTTTAAGTAGCAGTCTTCCACCTCTCACACATATACATTTTCATCGGTAGTAGAAATGTACCCCAGGTAGAGAAGGAATATTAAGTGCAGTATGCAAGTGTATAAGTTTCCCAGGTGATGCTGGCAAGGATGTAGGAGAAAGGTTATAGATTTTGAACTAGCAAATTCTTCGCTATTGGAAGGATATTTAAGTATTGCTTTTACTTTTTCCGCCATGAATATGCTATAGACTTTGTAGCTTTTCATTTTCTGCTGTTTCAGCATCTAAAAATCATCCTGGGATGTTGTGGGGACATCTGTGTATGAGTGGAAGGAGGGAGGAGAAGCTAGGAGTGGAAGGATTTTCTATATGTTGCTTTGGCCTTGGTTGTGGGTGGCTATTGCTTTCCACAACCAATAGGGTTTAGTACTTCAAAGAGTTCACCTGTTTTTTCAAGATACTATTCCCTTTACCTTATTATCCCCAGTTCTGCATTGTCAAGTGTACTGGAATAACAAAATTTGGCTATGAAAGCACTGGAGGACACTGACAAAAGAATTCGCTTCTGGATACATACTTCCAGTGCTCTCATCTTTCTTACAACACAGCAACCACACTTTGATAGCCATTCTGAACAATATCTAGGCCCAAGTTTAAGTATGTTGTAACACATATTTTGCCCTGAAACTGAAAAGAGCATCTTTAACACTAATCAAGTCTGAAGATAAAGTCTAATTGTTTTATTCTTGAATGCTGAGGACATCTGGAATCTATCCTGCCTTTTGGATGTTTCAGTGCTGCATTTATTAGATCTTTTTTCTTAGCTTTGATTCTGGTGTTGGACCATGGCTGGAGCTCTTGAGTACTGTTTGCAGTTCTGGCCACATTGGAAATATTCATAATCCCACCAATAAATTCTGACAGCTGACACTAGCTACTGGTTCTCTTGAGACTGACACAAAAATCACCATAATTAATGATACTTCACATTGCATGCATGGCCTTAAATATAAGTTACTTTGTTTATAATGAGCTAAACTTGCACCTGTGTGCAAACTGCAATCTGTACAGGATTGCCATTTGAACATGCTATTTTCTCAAAAACTAGAATATTTATTTTATACTGGGACTTTAAAAGCTCAGTTTCCTTTAGACAGATAGTCTCCACTTTTTGTGAATAAGAAGTTCAGTATAGACAACAGTCCATTTGCATTTCCTCCCAAAACAACAAATTTAACAGTTGTGTGATAAAAATCAGAAAAATATCATTAATTCATCACAGGGCAATGCAAAGTGTTCCTCTCTGCTTTTCTGCATTTTATTTCCTTAAACACATCACAATATTCATTCCTGTGACAGTGCTGTTGGCGCACCGGCATCTAAGTGGAGTAATGTGACCATGGAGCACTCTTCAATCTCTCCTTCCCAGCAACTGTCCTTGAAGCATTAGTGAGTTCGAGTGTTGTTTTGGTTTACCAGTTGGTAAACAAAGTTTTGCCTGGCAAGTATGCATTACCCTGCAGATCAGCAGAGGAAGCTAAAGTGGTTTGGTTATACTCAAGCAGCAGCACAAGACACGCAGTTCAAAGACAAGGGCACTCAGTGAGTTCTGCTGTCTTAATGCTGTCCTCACTGAGTACACAATCACAGATAACCCAGAAAGAATGGCAGACTCTGATCTCCAGAATGCTCTGATCTCCAGAAACAGAATTCCATAGAAGAACAATGTAGCACCACCAAGTACTTTCTGTCTGAAGTGGCTGTTTCAGTTTCAAGAAAACTAAGCTACAGTAAGATGGGAGAGGAAGCAGTACAGCACTGCTTTGTGAATTCCACTAATCCTTATGAAAAAGGAAACTGTACTGTATTACAACTGGAAGGACAGACTAGAATGCTTAGTATTGTTACATAAATTGTCCTCTGCAAATGAAATGATGTTGTTTTATTAGGTGTGGCATAGGGTTATTATGGTTTAAAGTTACACTGCAACTAACATGAGGTTTAAGGGGATTTTAATTGATGCAGGCATCGGATTGAGGTGTATTTTTTATGGATCACTGCATTTATAGACTTCAAAAAAATTAACAGAATGAAGAACAAGGCTATTTGATTTGCACTATGTACTTTCAAAGATTCGATGTTACTGATTGTAGCCCAATAAACAAGCACTTTTAACCTTCCCCGTATGACTAATTTTACAGTGCACCATGATTTTTTCAAGCACATAAATATGTTACCAGATATGAATTGTATGTAGAAATGCTTTGATTTGTTATGAAACATCTTGAAATCCTCAAGTTAATGTTACAACAAAGCTAAATATGTTTTATTTACCACACTGATTTTAGAAGTGTCCTCAGGTAGATTCATATTTTAAACTTTTACAGTTTTTAATCCAATTAATATTAGGCATCTGAGTATAGGCATAAGAAGGATGGCATTTAAAAGAAAAAAATCTGTAAACTCTCAAGTAGTTGTTAATAGTCAAATTTTTTTAAATGTATTTTCTGTTCTCAGAACAAAGTATTTATAGCATGTCTTTCAGTTGTGTCAGCTCACTACTTTTGTTTCTCAAACACAAAATTAAGCATTTGACAGAATTTGACATAAAGACCTTTAGAACTCAGTCCTGTTTTGTTAGTGTCAATGGAATTCCGAATGCTAGGATCTGCCCAATCAGAAGTTATTGCTGCACTGAAGCTTTGATAAATACAAGCATGCTATTGAGGTGCACTAGCGTCTCTATTATTAAAGTTCAGATGAACCTTCTGCTGTCAGGATTTTTATATATTAAGTAAAACTTGTTTTCCCTAAAATGCAGTTTCTTCAAAATTGGACTGTTTCCACAAATCCTGGAGACAGAATAAAAGACATCTTTATTTTGTCCTTTTTTTTTGTCTCTCGCTTGTAATTATCCTGTTCAGAGATACCTAATTTCTATTCCTTATTTTCCACGCATATGTACTGCCATCATAAATAGCACTTGAATTTTCAAAATTCACTTATTTGGAAATTTCAGGATGTAATTTTTATGCTAGCTTGAAGTTATAAAATTACAAGTGATTCTGTATTAGCAGTGTCAAACAATAACCTGAATATTCTTCCACACTTATTCCAGAGGTTTGGAAAAGTTGGAGGGAAATTCAGGGAGGTCTCTTTCAACTGAGAGGCAAAACCCAAATACTTTGCAATTTTAATCGCAAATATGATCCTAATGGAAAAAGGCTGTAAAAGAGACAAAGCAGACAAATTCACTTTGGTCCTGAAGCAAACAGCATGCCAAACTTTAAAGGCCACTAGATATGATGACTATGATATTGAGGGGCAGGTAATAAAATGGATGAAAGCACAAAGCTAAATGATGGAGTTTCCTTTACAGAACTTAAAGAGAAACGAGAAGAAGAAAGGCACTTTCCATTCCATGATGCACAGGGCCAAAAAGACAGAGTACTCCTCCAGTCTCAGTCTTGCAAAATTCATTATGTGGATAAGTGCATTGGCATGTCCATGTTATATGCACAGTTCTTTTCAAGAGCTACTTTAGAACAGCAAAGGGACATACCTATCCTGTTGCTTGTCCTTCCCTACTGCTCAGCCAGAGTACTGGAGAACTGGGTGTGGTTCTGGACTCCCCATGACAAGAGGGGCATGGAGCTATAAGGGCAAGCCCAACAGGGTTACTAAAAAGATTAAGGGACTAGAGCATTTGTCATTTGAGGAACCTGTGATTGTTTATCCTAGGGAAAACTCAGAGGGCCCTCCTCAATATCTGAAAGGAGCTGATAAAGAAGATGCCTCTTTTCACAGCATCATAGAATCCTGAAGGTTGGAAGGGACCTCTAGAGGTCATCTAGTCCAAACCCCCTGCACACACCTAGAGCACCTAGCACAGGACCTGAGTCCAAGCAGGTTTTTAAGATCTCCACAGAAGGAGACTCCACAGTCTTTGTGGGCAGCCTGTGCCAGGGCTCTGGTACCCTCACTGTTAAGGAATTTTAGTTCAAGTTCCTGTGGAACTTTTGGTGCTTCAGTTTGTGGCCATTTCCTCTAGTCCTACCTCTGGCCACCACTGAAAAGAGATTGCCCCATCTTCCTCACTGCCTCCCTTGAGGTGTTTATAGACACTGATCAGGTCCCCCCTCAGCCTCCTCTTCTCCAGGCTGAACAGACCCAGCTCCCTCAGCCTTTGCTCACAGGGCAGATGTTCCAGGCCCCTGATCATCCTCGTAGCCCTGCGCTGGACTCTCTCCAGCAGCTCCTCATCCCTCTTGTACTGGGGAGCCCAGAACTGGACGCAGTACTCCAGATGTGGCCTCACCAGGGCTGAGTAGAGGGGGATGATCACCTCCCTCGACCTGCTGGAGACGCTTTTCTTAATGCACCCCAGGATCCCGTTGGCCTTCTTGGCCACCAGGGCACACTGCTGCCTCATGGTCAACTTGTCATCCACCATGACACCAAGGTCCCCCTTTGACAGGACAAGAGGCAACTGGCATTGAAATACAGAATTTCCGTCTATAGGAAAACATCCTTACTTTGAGGTGCCTGTGCACAGGTTGCCCAGAGAGGCTGTGCAATTTCCATCTTTGGTGATATTCAAAAGTTGTCTGGCACAGTCCTAGTCAAGGTGCTCTTTGTAACCCAGCTTGACCAAGGGAGCAGAGTGCAAGATCCCTCAAGGTCCCTTCCAACCTCAGCCAAATCTGTGAAAAGATGTTGATCTGTTTCTCTGTAGTTGTGCCTGAGTGTTTTACTCCTGCTTGCACCCTCTACTGGCAGGGAGAGAGGAATCACTTTTGATCATTTGGCAACAAAACCTTTTTGGACCTTGTGTTTTCCATCTGA